TTTTGTAAGGGAGACGTTTGAGGGGGCGGCGTCCGAAGCAGCATCGGAGATGCGGCACGATCCTCCGACCCCGCCTGCTTCAAGACCGACGCACACACTCGATTGCCCACGGACAGCGCTCTTTCCAACGGTTCGTTCTCTCGAACGCGGTCCCGCTGCAGACAAAGCAGCGAGCGAGGGCCATGCTCCGCGCCCAAGCGGGCGCGCAGCATTCAACGCCAACCTGGACGGTGCTGAGGCGAGACTGGCGCTCCTGCCATTCGCGCACGGTGTACGCCAAGGTCAAGCTCGCCCCACACAGTCTGCGACGTCGACGGCGAGGCGTCCGTTCTTGGAAGCAAACGTCGACTTTGAACTTTCCAGGATGTGTAGAAGTGGATCTGGGAGACCTTTCCAAGGGTGCGCTCAGACCAGGATTTCGAGGCGCATCCAGCGGTGACGACGAAGGCTAAACGAAGGAAAGGCAGCGGTAGGGGTACCTTTTCCTCCTATGATGACGGGCTTGCTTGGGGCCTCCGTGCGGGGTAGGAGCGAGGGGAGTAGAAGCACAGACCTCTGCGAGGGGGACAGGATCTCCCGCCGAGGCAGGCGGCATCTGGACGAAGGGTGTGCGAAGCTCTTTTCTCGGCGATGCGCGCCCTCCGACAAGCCTCGCACACCTCACACAGCAACCGACACCGCGAACCAAATCGCGATGCCATGTAAACTGCGAGACGCACGCGGAACGAGGACCCAGACTTCCGGCTGCTCCAATTTTGTTGGTGCGTGGGCCCCGGAGGTACAGACCACTTCCCTGGGACCGGATCCTGAGTCGTTTTTTCACGCTCCCGAGGCCCGGCGAAGGCCCCCGGAGGCCGAAAACTGCCCCAAACATTTTTTTGGAGCGTCGGATCTCAGGGGATGAAGGCAGAGTGCACATCCCTGATGGATCTGCCGGCCATATTATATGGTGCGCACCACAGGAGCAACGCACTACGGAGGGCACGCGACACATGACCCCAGAATGCTGGACGTGCGCCCTGCAGGTGAGGAGAATGATGCGGGCCTCCCTGGGCCCATGCCCCCTTCAACGCCCGATCAAGATCAAGCACCTCTGTTGCCCAATTGGGGAGGGCGCGGATGGACAGCAATCACTGGGTAGTTCACGTCCACGTTTATCTTTATTGGAGCGGACGTCATCGGCAGTCGTAGTAGCGCGTGCACCTTCCTGCGCTCGGCGGAGATCCCCGTCGCGGTGGCGCTGAGGTTAGACAGCCCGGCCTCCTCCGGTAACGAGGGAGACTGGGTCAACTACTTCTTGCTCGGCTGGGCGCAGTCAGTATGTCTCGGGCCGCCCTTCCCGAGACCACTCCTTCCTCGCCAAGCGCGATACTAGGTGCTCCTCGAGAGTAGAGAAGAGGCGCTGCTCGAAGTTACGCAACGATACGGTGATGAACTTGTTCACATCCACAAGATCCTTCACCCTTGCCACGTTTTCGCCTTGGAAAGGTTTCAGCATCTTCAGGAAATCGCGCTCTGGGAGCTCATTCGTATCCTTAAAGACGAAGTGTATGAAATCCATGAATGCTGCCACGTCTACGCCCAGGCTCTCCAACTCCTCGAGGACCTCTGGCTTGTCCATGAGCTCCATGAACTCGCTCTCCGACAGGAGCCCGCTGTTATCAAGGTCCAGCTGTCTCATCAGGACTTGCACACGCTGCTCGAGGAGTTCCCACTGAACGGCCTGCTTTTCGACAGACGCCACATTAGCGACTACCTCGCAGAGGATCCCGATAAGAAGGTTCAGGATGGTCAGATAACCTAGAAGAGCGTAGAACAGGAACAACAAGTAGTACATCCACCCCACGCGCAGGAGCTTTGTGATGAAGACGGCGTCGAAGCCGCACAGCACCTGCATGAGCAGCGTGTGCATTGCCCACGGCACGCTGCTGAAGGCGCCGTCCAGCAATTCCTCTCCGCCTGACAGCTGGGCACCGTTCTTGGGCACGGACCCTTTCCGCCCCAGCAGCTGCACGAACAGCACGGCGAAGCAGTATATCACCAGCAGCAGGAGCCCCAGGGTGCAGGTGACGGAGCGTATGGCCACGGTGAGACCCTTGACCAGCACGAGCAGCTCTGGCACCGACCGCATGAGCCTTGGTGGAGGGGGGATGGCCGAAACCCAGACCCCCGACGTAATGATTTTTTCATTACGTCGACCCCCAGAGGTCCTGACCCTTTCCCCATGACCGGCTTTGCATCCTGAGTCGTTTTTTGAGGCTCCCGAGGCCCGGTGAGGGCCCCCGGAGGCCGAAAATTAGGAAAAACCTCCCGTCATGATTTTTTCATTACTCGAGGGGGTCTGGGGTGGAGGGGGGTGGCCGAAAGGGCGCTCTCGCAGTGGCTCGTCGCGCCGCCGAGGCCAGCACGCCCCAAACCCACCGCGAGGGAGGGGGCAACGCAGGCCACCGACCGCTGGCGCTCACCACGGGATGGGCGCGCGAGGGGGCGGCCCCCACCTGGGGAGGCCAGGCGGGCCCAGGCCAGAGGAAGAAACCTGCAGAAGCATTCTGAAGGGGCCCCAGGACACACAAATAAAGACACACAGATAAAGATATCCCCCATATTTTGGGTTTTTTGGGTTTTGGTCTTCCCCCCCCCCACTCCCCATATCTTCCCATATTTTCCTGGGAGCCGTCGATGAATTGTGTCTGTGTGTTTTTTCCCCTCCTGAAATTCCTCTAGTGCTGCTAGCGCTGGGCCCCCCCCCCCCCGGCGCGCGGGGCGCGCCGGGCGCGGCGCAGGAGGCGGCGCCGCGGGGAGGGCCCCGCGCCGACTCAAGAAGCCCGCGCGGGCCTTGGAGGAGAAAGTATGTTATTGCCGTTGCTTGCTCTTCGGCGAACGGACGCGGAAAATACTTGGGCGCCCGAATTATCCGGGGTAACTCGGGTCCGGGGTAACTCGGGTTTGGATGCCCGAAAAAGGAACCCGAGTTAGCCCTGACCCGAGTTACCCCTGATGATGTAGGGCTCTGGACGCCCGAGTTATCCGGGGTAACTCGGGTCCGGGGTAAGTCGGGTTCGGATTCCCGAAAAAACGAACCCGAGTTAACCCTGACCCGAGTTACCCCTGATGATTCGGGGCTCTGAAATACTGTCTTCTGCTCGTCGTTGCTTGCCCTTCGCTGCTGGCTCTTCGACATCTTGATGGGGGCCAACACGCACTGGGCTGCTTGACTCACGTCCCAAAGATTATATCGGCCCGCACCGAAGCGACGAAGCCAGCCCAGAAGGACGTGGAACATAGCGACGGCACGGCGGCCAGAAGCGCTCTCGCCGGCCGGCGCGGCGGAGGAGCCGGGCACACCATCATTGCGGGCGTGCGCCCAGGAGCCATGGCCGCCAGGGCCAGGCAAGCAAGAACCCCATATTGCAGCGAGGCCACGGCCAGAGCCGGCGCTGTATGAGGAAAGATATTCTTTCCTGGCCTTAACGGCTCCTCGGTCCCAGACCCCCAAGGAGAATGGAAAAGTCACGACGTTTTGTGGTTAACCTTTGGGGGCCCCTGCTAGACCCCAGGATTGCCAAGCAATAGCCCATGATGATTCCACGCAATGGAAAAGGCACGACGACGTCAGGGGTCCGGGGTGCATTGGGTTGGAGGAGCAGCCAAGGGAGGGCCTGCAAGGAGCAGCGGGTGCCCCGTCCGAACCCTAGCTGCTGCTTTTTTCGAGGTCTTGGCTCTATGCTGCCCTTCTTTCAAGACCTAAAAGGTGACGCCACGAAGACGAAAACACGGACGCCCCCCGACGAATGTTGAATGCACCTTCAGGGAGGGCGGCGGTGTACAAAGCCGCTGGCTCTCCGCGGTGACTTACACACCGACGCCCTCCCCTGAGGCCCGGGAACCCGGGAACAATCCATCTGAGGGCGTCAGTGTCTATAGTTCCGTGGCGGAGAACCCAATTTCGCCGGGCGTTCGACAGGAGTGGGCCTGACGGCTCCACAACGGTGCGCGGCGGAGGAGGTGGAGGACAAGGAGGAAGAGAAGGAGGATGCGAAGGAATATGAGGAGGACAAAACAGGGCTAGGATCGGGATAACTCGCTCCAGAGCGTCCCGGAGCGCTCTCAGAGCGTTCCGGAACGCTCTGGAGCGGCCGCGGCGCCCAACACATCCTCCAAACCCGCCGATTCTCAGAGATTTCGAGTTATCCCGATCCGATGTTATCCCTCCCGATCTCCGCGTCGTTTTAGAGGAAGAGGAGGAGGAGGAGGAGGCGGAGGCGGAGCGGAGGCGGAGGCGGAGGAGGAGGAGGAGGAGGAGGCAGAGGCATGGCGCGTAGAGAGGAGAGGAGGAGAAGGAGGAGGATGAGGAGGAGGAGGAGGAGGGGGAGGAGGAATGAGGAGGAGGAGGAGAGGAGGCAAGGAGGAGGAGGAGCGGAGGAGGAGAGGGGAGCGGAGGAGGAGAGGAGGAGGAGGAAAGCCCAGGCGCCCGCACCCGGGCCGATCCCTCGCTGCGTCCGGCTCTGCCCCTTCTAGCCCCCACGCCCGACCCGGGCTCCGCGCCCAAATGGTTGCATCACGGGGCTCCGTGCTCCTCCTTACTCCTCCCTCCTCCCCTCCTCCTCCTCCTCCTCCTCCTCCACCGCCTCCGCCTCCGCCTCCGCCTCCGCCTCCTCCCCCTCTTCTTCGGAGGAGGAAGGCGCCAACGGGCACCCCGTCTCCCCCTCAAACAAAAACTGTGCCCGGGCAGGGCGTCGGAGCCGTGGTGGTGCCGCGGCATCCGGAGAGAGGTCGCACGGCCGACGCCGGAAACCAAATCGACGCCCCACTGGTGCTTCCGTCGCCTCCCGCCGTGCTCGCGCCGGCTTCCACCGCCGGCGGGCCGCCGCGGATTCATGTCAGCCGGCTCGGGCGTTGGCGCACGGGTGGGGCAGGAAACCGGGGGGGGGGCGGCGAAGGGGCGCGCACCTCTCTGCCCCCTCTTGGGCCCCTGGGGGCCCTACGGTGGAGGCCTTGGGTAAGGAACCCGTATGCAGGGAATCCAGGGTCTGGAGGCTGGTGGAGCTCCAATCGAGGCTTGGCCATGGATATGACCGGCGCCCTCATCAAATGAGGCATCTTCCAGGGTCTGAAGCCTCCTGGGCACATTCCCTAACCAACGCCCCCACCGTACCTCGAACTCGACCCTCAGAGATCTCGACCCGTTCCCCAGGATCGGTTTGTTGTCGCGACTCGTTCTGTGACGGTCTCGAGGGCCTGCCAGGGCCCCAGAGGCCGCAAGCAAGAGAATGACTCGAGGGGGCCTGGGCCCGGAAGGCCCCGACTTCGTTGCCCCGATACGGAGCACGCAACAAACGTGACGCCTTGGTACGGAGCTCGACGCGCAGAGTGAAAACGCACGTGTGACGCGACACGCCCGCCAAAACGCGGGCCTGTACGCTGAGCCAGCGCGCGTAGAGTGTTGACACGGACGTTCGGAACACGGCGCACGCGTCGCGCTTCAGAACGGGCACATCGAGGCAAAACCGAAGGGCCCCGAAGGTGCAGGAGAGGCGCACCGTCCCGTGCGCTTCCCCCCCCCCCCCCCCGCCACGCGACGCCCGAAAGGCGAGGCCCCTGCCAGAGCGCCTCCACGCGTGGAGAAGCTGGCAGACACCGACGCCGCTGCGGTCGAGCTCCGCACCTCCGCGGGGGCGAGATCGGGGCCGCCGGGGGCCACCGCCCCCGCTCCCTCCCGTGGCGTCGTCCTCGGGGGTCGAGGCGGCGGCTGTGGGATGGGGAGAAGAGGAAGGGCTCCCCGGAGGGGGGGGGGGGTAGACCACCTGGGGCCTCCCTGCCGGCCCCAGGACGCGCAGCCCCAGGACGCAGAGGCCCTCGACGCCGAATTCGGCACTTCTTGGGCGGCGGACTGCCAACACCCAGAGGGGCTGGCCAGTGAAAGCCGCGAAGGACGGGCCGCAGGGGCAAGGACGCAAACGAGTACCCTCAGGACATCCCGGCGTCCTTTCACTGTGACTTCCGGCTGTACCCCCTCGGACCTCTCTCCCGGGGTGCGCCCTGACGGCCGTGGCGACGAGGGCCTCCGAGGAGGCTCGGACTGGCGAGGACGAGGCAAGGGTAGGGCAGCGGCATCGGCAGCTCTCAGCCCCTTGGCCTTCGAAGCATGACTCGGCTCTCTGGCGTCCGTTCGGGGCGATACGGGCACCCCCAGAATGCTCACGGCGAGGCGCGGCTACTGGAAGGCACCTCGAGGCTGGAAAGCCGCCGAGAACCGACGGAGACCCCCGAAAACCTCGAACCTCGCTCCCTTTGCTCGGTGCCTTTTCCTTCCTGCGAGGCCAGGGCCGGATCGGGGGCGAGCACGGGGTGCCTCCCCCTCCTCCTCCTCCTCCTCCTCCTCCTCCTCCTCCTCCTCCTCCTCCTACTCCTCCTCCTCCTCCTCCTCCTCCTCCTCCTCCTCCTCCTCCTCCTCCTCCTCCTCCCCCTCCTCCTCCCCCTCCTCCTCCTCCTCCTCCTCCTCCTCCTCCTCCTCCTCCTCCTCCTCCTCCTCCTCCGCCTCCTCCCCGCCCGCCATGGCCGCCTCGCCATGCGCGCGAGGCGCGTCAGCCGCATCACGCGGAAGATGCGCAGCACGGGGCCCCCACGGAGCGCGCCGCTGCCCGCCGCGAGGCCCCACGCCGCGTGAAAGAAGGTGAGTATCCAGGTCTCCTCGGCCGGAGGTTAGGGTGCCCTCCTCCGCCTCCTGCTCCCTTTCCTCCCCCCCGTCCTCCTCTCCCCTCCTCCTCCCTCCTCCCCACTCCCTTTCCCTATTTCCTCTCCCTCTCTCGCCCTCTGCCCCTCCTACTCCCCACTCCGCCACTGCCCCCTCACTTCTTCGCTCCTCCCTCTCATCCTCCCTATCCCTCCACCTACCTTCTCCTCTCTCCTCACCCTCTCATCCTCCCCTCCTCCTCCTCCTCGTCCTCCTCCCTCCTCTCTCCATCCCTCCTCCCTCCTCCCTCCTCCCGTCCTCCCTCCTCCCTCCTTCACTCCCTCCCTCCCCTCCTCCCTCCCTCCTCCCTCCTACCCCCACTCCTCCATCTCCTCTCCTCCTCCCTCCTCCTCCTCCTCCTCCTCCTCCTCCTCCTCCCCTCCTTCTTCTCCTCCTAGCTCCTCCTCTCCTCCTCCTCCTCCTCCTCGCCCTCTCCTCCTCCCCTCCTACTCTATTCCTCTCCTCCCTCTGCCACCCTCCTCCTCCTCTTCCTCCTCCTCCTTCCTCCTCCTCACACCTCCTCCTCCTCCCTCCTCCTAACCTCCCTCCTCCTGCCTCCTCCTCCTCCTAACTGGCCCCCCCCTCCCCCCTTCCTCCCGCCCGACCCCTCCCCCCTCCTCCTCGCACCCTCTCTCCACCCCCCTCCCGGCCTCTCCACTCCTCCTCCTCCTCCCCCTCACTCCTCCTCCCCACACTCCTCCTCTTCTCCTCTCCCCTCCTGCCTCTCCTCTCCTCCTCCTCCTCCTCCCCCTCCTCCTCCTCCTCCACCTCCCTCCTCCTCCACCTCCAGCCTCCCCTCCTCCTCCTCCTCCCTCCGCCTCCTCCTCCTCCTCCTCCTCCTCCTCCTCCTTCTCCTCCGCATCCTCCTCTCCTCCTCCTCCTCCTCTCTTCCTCCTCCTCTTCCCTCCTCCCTCCTCCTCCATCCTCCTGCCTCCTCCTCCGACCACCTACCCCCTCTGCCACCCTCCTCCGCCGCCTCCTCCCCTCCTCCTCCTCCTCCTCCTCCTCCTCCTCCTCCTCCTCCTCATGCTCCTGTTACTCCTCTCCCTGCTCCTGCTCATGTGGTTGATTCTCCTTCGTCTCCGCCTGGTCTCATGAAAGGACTTCGCGAGGACCCTTGACATATTGTGGTCCATCCTCTGGCGAGCAACGGTCGCTACCCAGGCCGTCCCCTTCCCCTCTCCCAGGTAACGCTGACGATCGCATGTAGGGAGGAAGAGGGGGGCTGCCCCCCCCCCCCCCCCCTGCTGGTGCTCGCGATGACTCTCGGGACTGAGCCAGGATAGGCGGCATTCAGCGAAATTGTGCGGGCCTATGCCAGAATCGGCCAGTGTTGAACCGCGGGTAATCCAGTGCCGATGCTGAAGTTGACCTCTCAGGAGTTGCATCCTCAGGGAGGGGAGGGCACGCGCACCCGGCGTGCGAAAGGAAAGCCAGCGATGGCAAGTCCGATGTTGGCGACAATTCGCAAAAGTATACCTGTGCGGCCGGAATCCCTCGTAGACGGCTCTGCGCAATTCACGAGGGGGGGGCCCAAGATAGGCCACCGATTTTGATTTCGGGGGCCCGGCTCTCTCACGGGGCGTCCTCGATCTCGAACGCCCGCGCAGGGGCCGCCGCCGCGCCGACGCGGCACCGCACCTGCCGCGAACCGTGGCTCCAGGACGATACTGAAGGGGCCCCAGGACACACAAATAAATACACACAAATAAAACGATTCACCATATGTTCCCATATGTTCTGGGTTTTTGCCTCCCCGCCCAATTCCCATATTTTCCCATTATTTTCTGGGGGATCGACGATGAATTGTGTCTGTGTGTTTCTTCCCCTCCTGAGATACACGGGCACATGGCAGACGGGATGGCGGGAGCCAGGTTGCGCGGCACCACCACCGGCAGGGACCACCGGCGGGACGCGCCAGGAAGGGGTCGTCCCCCTGCGGGCGTGGTCCCCGCACCTCGCTCGAGCCGTCCACTGTCCCCAGCTCCGGGAGGCACCGTGGGCCTCCTCGCTGGAAGTGGCCCCCCCTGGTGATGGCAGGAGAGCCCAGGATCGAATCGATAGGTCTGACTGGCCATCGACATGAGCCGGATCGGCGGGAAGTGGCAGCCAAATCGGGGGAAGTCGACTCGGCGGGACTCGGCAGGCTCCTAACGCCTCCACTGGGGAATCGCTGCCCCGGAGCCAGACTCCGAAGCCGACCCGACTCGACACCGGAAGCCATCGGCGCGGAGTCGGACCGGAGGGGTCGACGTGAGCACCGGGAGCGCCTGGGAGCGTCTGGGAGCGCCTGGGAGCGCCTGGGAGCGCTTGGGAGCGCCTGGGAGCGCCTGGGAGCGCCTGGGAGCGTTTGGGAGCGCCTGGGAGCGCCAGGCCAGGCCAGGCCCGCTCGTGACACCCCTACCCACTCAGCCCGGCCAGACGAGCCTGGGAGCGCCGGGGAGCGCTTGGCAGCGCCTATAGGAGCGCCTGGGAGCGCCCCTGGGAGCGCCCCTGGGAGCGCCTGGCGGCGCCTGGATGGCGGCGCCGCCTCTCCTGGAGCCCGAGGCGGAGAGATGCGGTCGGGGAGGTGCCGGCGGCGTCGGCAGAGCTCATAGGGGGCGGGTGCCTCCCGGGCGGCGGCAGCCCGCGGAGCATCCGGGTCGGGGGGCGGGCGCTGGGAGGGTGGCTCGCGGGGTGGCTCGCGGGGCGGGTCGCGGGGCAGTCGTACAGGGTGGGTCGCGGGGAGGGTCGCGGGGCGGGGTCGTGGGCGAGGACGACGACGAGGACGACGAGGACGACGACGACGACGACGACGACGACGACGACGACGACGACGACGACGACAACAACAACAACAACAATCATTTTAAGACTGTTCGCCCTTATCTGCTCGAGTGCCCAATAACGCGTATTTCCCGAACCCTCGATACCCGCCCTCTTCGTCTTCGATCGAACCCTTTTGGGGGGTATACCTTCCTTCCCTGCAGGCCGGGCCCCAGCAAGCGGCGGGGCGGTCACGGACCGTCGGCCTGGCCAGCGGCAGCGCTGATCGGCGGGGCGGCCGCGGACCGTCGACCCGACCCCAAGAGGGACGGACAGGGGACCGACCACGATGACGACGACGACGACGACGACGGCGGCGACGACGACGACGGCGACGACGAGCGGAAGCGAGAGCGAGAGAGAACGACAGCAGGGCCACGAAGGACACGGAGTAGGTCACGAAGGGCGACAGCGGGGACAAGACGTGAATGCGTATGGGGCCACGAAGAGCACGAACGTGCGGGGGCCACGAGGGGCAGACAATGCGGGGCCACAGAAGGCAACGATGGGGCCACTGCGGGTAGCAACTTGGCCACGTAGGACATTTAGGGGGCCACAAACGGCGACAGCGGGGCCACGAAGGGCACGCACATAGGGACACAACGGGCGCGACTCCTGGGTGCTTGGGTGTCGGGAGCGCGGCGCTTGAGCTAATTGCAAAAAAATCCAACGCAAAGGCGCTATTCTTCATCAAATTGTAAGTACGTCTCCAGCGATAGCGCGACTCCAGAGCGCTGGGAAAGCGATTCGTGAATCAATTGTAAGGAAGTTCGAAGCGATAGCGCGATTCCTGAATAACATGCGACGAAGTCTCGCGCGGGAGCGGGGGTCCGGGCAAAATTGTGAGGAGATCTCAGGCGGGAGCCGTTGTTGTTGTAACCCGGGGGCCAGGGGCACAGTTTGAGCATCAAGACTTTCCCTGTCAAACAGCAGGGTGCGAGCATCGAGGGGCACACTTTGATTGAGAAAACTAGTATGCACCAGTGGGGGGGGAATCAGCAATACTTATTCTTCAGACATGAGAGTTCAACTATAATCAAATGTAAGACTGTTCGCTCCTGTCTGCTCGCATGGCACTCAACATGTACATACCAAAATTTCGGTACCCGCCCTCGTCGTCTTCGATCGTATGGGTCTACATTCCTTACCTGCAACGCGTATGTCGTGTAGCACGTAAGGCAGGGGGTAGAAGACCGATCGAAGGAAGGGACAAGGGGGAGGGATGATAATGGGGCGCGAGAGCGATTAGCAGGAGGGAAGCTACAGTCAACAACCCTGATAAGGACGCGCAGCAAGGACGCAAGACCCTTGGAAGCCGAAGTTGGGATGTTTGGGGCGGCGGACGACGAAAACCTCAAGGACGCAAGAGCAAGGAAGAGCAAGGACGCAAGGGTACCCTGAGCAAAGTCGCGCGTCCTTATTAGGGTTTTTGACTGCAGGAGCAGACAGCATGTGGCAGAATCAGACGGGCAGATCGGGCGGGTAGACCCGGACGGGTGGGTCGGGAAGGAGGGACCAGGCGGCCAGGTCGAGCAGGCGGGTTGCTGAAGCGTGCGTCCTGTACGTCTCGAGCGGCAACGCGATTCCCAAGTCAATCGTGAGAAATCCATAGCGAGAGCGTGATTCCTGAGTGTCGAGGGCGCGGCGTATGAATCAATTGGGGGCAAACCCACGCGAGAGCGCGATTCCCGCATAACGTGTGCAGAAATCCCGCGCGAGAGCGCGATTTGGGAATACATCGTGAGGAAGTATCAGGCGGGAGCAGCTGTTGTTGTAAACCCGGGACCAGGGACACAGTCTAGTGATACCGTACTTCTCCTGTCAAAAACGAAAGTGCAAGCCCTGGGACGAGCACTGATATTGAAACATGCAATGTTTACTGGAGTGGATCAGCAATACGTCTTGTTTAGCAATGAGAGCCCGACAACAACAACACTGTTTAAAAGACTGCGCTTTATCTGCTCGCGTGCCATTCAACACGTATATGCCGAACCCTCGATACCCGCCCTCTTCGTCTTCGACCGTAACCACTTGGGGGTCTATCTTTCTTAGCTGCAACATGTATGTCATGCAGCCCCTGGGGCAGGGGAAGAGAGGACGGATGGAAGAAGGGGACAAGGGGAAGGGAGGAGGATGGAACACGCGAGAGACTAGGAGGGGGGGGGCTGGGAGCAGAAAACACGTGGCAGAATCAGACGGGCAGATCGGGCGGGTAGATCCTACCAGGCGGGTCGGGAAGGAGGGCCCAGGCGGCCAGGTCGAGCAGGCGGGTTGCTAAAGCGTGCGTCCTGCATGAATCGCAAGAAAATCTCGAGCGACAGCTCGATTCCCAAATCAGTCGTTAGGAAATCCATAGCGAGAGCGTGACTCCTGAATGTCGAGGGCGCGGCGTCTGAATACATTGGGAGGAAGTCCCACGCGAGAAAGCGATCCCTGAGTAAATTGTGCGAATGTCCTGCGCGAGAGTGCGATTTGGGAATAACTTGTCAGGAAGTATCAGGCAGGAGCCGTTGTTGTTGTAGTTCGGGGGCCAACAACGTAGTTTGAGGAGGAAGACTTTCCCTGATAAAAACAGGGTGCGAGCCTCCTGGGGCACGTCGATTGAACGAAATACATATGCTACCAGAGGGGGGGGGGGGCAACACACATCATTCTTCAGTAGTGAAACTTCATCAACAACAACAACAGCGACAACAACAACAACAACAACAACAACAACAACAACAATCATTTTACCCGAACGCGTGGTGTTCTCCCCAGTGCCAGGGTTTTCATACGACACCAGGCAATACCCCCACTTCGTGGGGGGGCATTACAAGCTCTACCAAATATCCAAACGACTCTTCGCGACCACCCAAACCCAGCTTCCCGCCCTATGACGTTGGGACACTTCACTTCGTGGCGTGCGGACGACCGTGGCTACTACACTGGCGTGGGGTACACACCCACAGAACTTGGTCACTTATTCGGGGCGCGCATGTGCCCAGCATGGTGCAATTGTGCCATACAATACATAATACAGAGAGACGAATGTGTCCCGCATGGTATTATTTGACAGGGATGATGGCCCTGGCAGGTGCGCAACCGTTGTCGCAGAAGTTCGAAAAAGTTGCTCGCAAAAGCCCGTTTGACAGAAATGTTTAAAAAGTGTTGGTTTTCCTACGAATCCGCAAGAGCGCGCGGGATGAGATTTTGACATTTTTTTGTTGAAAAACCATTGGTTTTTTGATGTTTTTATGTTAAAATCGCTCCGAACACTAAGCTTTTGGAAGGATTTCGTCTTGCGCGCGCGAATGTCCACTTTACCTTATTTTTTGCAAGGGATTCTTGAAATTTGATTATATTAGAACAAGAAATGTCATTTTATAGTGTTTTTTGCAAGGGAAAACGGATTACAACAAAACAACCGGATCTTGATCACCTCGAATTACCTGAGGCTTCCTCACGAAAATGATGAAAACGTGGCTGCGGCCTAGGCGCGGCGGGGGGGGCGCGCACCAGGGGGCCCAACAATAATTATTCTTTAGAATTAATAATGTTCAACAACAACAACAACAACAACAACAACAACAGCCTCAGCAAAAAAAACAGCATCAGCAACAGCAACAACAACAGCAGCAGCAGCAACAACGCAACAACGCAGCGCAACAACGATCCGCACCGAGGAACTCCACTTTAGCCACGCACCCAGGGACAGTGAATCAGCGGGTCTCCAGCACCATCATCATCACCAGGAACATGTCGAACAGGATCCAGGGGTCCCTCAGCGCGTCGCGGGGCCTCCGCATCGCCAGAACCCGCACCAGTAGCTCGAATGTGAAGAAGAGGCAGAACAGGTTGTCGACGACCTGGAAGAGCACGGGCGCCTCGTCGAGGAACTCCGCGGTGTTACAGTCGGTGTCTATGGCGATCCAGAGCGTGTTCAGCGAAATCATCACGAGGGTTCCAGAGTGGAAGAGCGGGCTCCTCGCCGCGGCCACGCAGCAGCCCGAGTCGGCGTACTCGCCGAGTGTGGCCGCCGAGACTTTCAGCCTCCTGGTCGACAGGATGTCCTCGACCTGAGCCAGGATCCCATAAAGTGGGTCCTGAGAGCAACGTGCCCTGGACAATGCCTTGGGGACACGTTGTTTGTCCCGGCGATGTGGGGCACAAGTTAATCGGACTAGAACGGAACGCGGACTACTTCACTGCGCTCCTGCACAGGGAACAGAAAAGGAGGGCGACCGCGGAGGGAGGCGAAGGGGCGGAGACCACCGACCGACGGCAGACGAGACGACGGCGGCGCCAGCTTGACGACGCGCGAAGGACGGACCCACCTTGTCCCGCACATCGTTCAACTGCTCCACCGACGCCGACGCCGCCGGCGATCCGCCCACCGCGGCGATGGGCAGCCGTGGCCGCGCCACCTTGCCGCCCCTGGCGCCCAGCAGGGGCTCCGCCAGGGCCGGGACGACCGCCCCACCAAGGCCTCTGGCGCTCGGGCCGGCAGGCGCTGCGCCCACGGGGCAAGCGACACTGCCGGTCTGCGCGTGGACCGCGTTGGAGATGGCCTTGCTGCAGGCCAGCACTTCCTCGCCGCGGCACCGCCCCTGCCTCCCTCGCCTCCTCCGTGCTCCGGATGGTCATCATCGCCATCGTTGCCAGGCCTGGTCGCTGCATCCTCACCGCCACAAGAACCCTGTGTCCTTCAATAGTTCTGGGGGTACCTCTAGTCCGAGGAGGGGTGCCTGTAGTCCGGGGGAGGGGTGCCTGTAGTCTGGGGGGTGGGTACGTGCAGTGCGGGGTGGGAAACCTGTCCAATGGAGGGTACGTGTAGTCCGGGCGGGAGTACCTGTAGGTAAACGCCTGGTATTGGATAGTTCGAAAAAACGGGTCAGTGTTTTTAACAAATGCGCCCGGATTTGGAGGTTTGGCAAACAGGTAAAGCAACTTGGGGAACAAAGTACGCCCGGACTTGGATGTTTGAACAGTTCGAAGGCATGGTTTGAGGTGGAGTGGATTATATATGAGTGTGTACATATATATGTATATGTATAAGCAAAACAAAGCCCAGAACTGGAAGTTTGGAAGTAATTTCAACAATTAGAAAAGGCGCCTCGATTCGGAAGCTTGAACAGCTACGACAACATGTTTGGGAAACACTTATCTTAATACACCCGGTTTTGGACATTTGAATACGGTTGGACAACGTTCGCCCGGAATTACAAGTTTGAAAAGCGTTCATAAACATTTGAACCACAGTTGAAACATGTACGCCCAGATTTGGAAGTTCCCAAAAAGTTTGAACAACTTTAAAGCATACACCTGGATTTTGGGAACTGAAAAAAATTGAAACAAGTTTAGAAACGTGCGTCCCGATTGGGTAGTTTGAACAAAATGTAAAACACGTTTGAAACAAGTTTGAACACGTCAGCCCGGTTTTGAAGTTTGGAAGAGTTCCGAAACATTGAAATGCGCCCCGATGTGGAAGAAACAAGTTTGCAAACAATAGGGTTTGAGCACACAGTTTGAGAATTACACCCGAACTTGGAAGCCGAGCAAGATTTTGAAACGTACGCCCAGATGTAAAAGTCTACGGAAGCTGGAAAATACGCCCAGCCTTGGAAGCCTGAAACAAATTCGAAACAAAGTTTGGGAACTAGATTCGTCGTTGTTCCATACATGTTTCATACTTCCATGTACCCTCTGTCTCACACTCGTACTTTCGCTTTGCTTTGACTTCGCACTTCTGGCGCACAACGAATACTCCGCGCGCGGTCCCCAGTTTGCTTGCATGGGGCGACATAGGAATAGGGGAAGGCCGTGAACACAGGGCGCGGACAGAAGGCGTGGACAGACGGGGCGCGGACAGAAGAGACGCGGACAGAGAGCGGGGAAACACGCGCAAACGAAAACTGGTGATCACTGCGTTGCGGCAGAGCCGTACGAATACCAGCAGACATGTTGCTGGGGTCGGCAACCTGGAGGAGGAGGAGGAGGAGGAGGAGGAGGAGGAGGAGGAGGAGGAGGAGGGAGAGGAGGAAGAGTAGGAGGAGGAGGAGGAGGAGGAGGAGGAGGAGGGAGGAAGGAGGAGGACGACGGCGGCCCCGGCGACTCTCTATGTCTTGCGGGCGGGCCGCGCGTCGCTCCGCTCCGAGCGGGCGGGCGGCGGAGAAGCGCCCGGGACGTGGGCGCTCGGACCCGGGAGGGGGGCTGCTGCTGCGGCTGCTGCTCACGGATGACGAGGGTCGTCCTGCAGCCGCGTGTCCAGTCGAGCCCCCCTTGGTCTTCACACAGAGGGGGGCGGGGGCTCATCTGGGAAGAAGTGGGGCGTAGGTCAGGGAGGGGGTCAGCGTGTCGCGCCGATGCGTGGCGGGCCAAAGCTGGCGGCTCGACGTGCTGAACCAAGGCTACTCGCCGTAATCTGCAGGAGCAACATACGTACACATCATGCAGGACACGTTCTGCCACTGTTTCCCCTCGGCCCTGAAGCTACTCGGGTGTTGCAGCCGCCGCCAGCTGAATGCATGTATGCCCACTCTCTCACGGTATACACCAGGATTCGAAGGCACGAATAAAAGCAACTCCATCTTGACAAGAGCAAGCGGCACCGCACAAACCGCCACTTTGGGCATTTGTACAGCGAGCTACCGCTGCTGTACAAATGCCCAAAGTGCCAGCACACGCTTCTGGCGCCAGCAGCAGCAATATGGTCCTCCATGCACTCCCGCCCGGCCAGTCCGACCTGGATACCTGAACGTTCCAGCCCGCTCAACTCCATCCCCGAGCGTTATAAATAACTCTTCCCTGTCGCAACACCAAGCGTGCCATTAGGGCGGGCCCAGCACTTCGCCCGAGAGCTTCTCACCGCTTACGACCTTGAAGCTGACAAGTTCCAAGATTTCCACGCATGGAGCACGGCCCTTTCTCAGTAGGGCTCTTAACTTGGCGCCGCGCACGTTCGTCTTGAAAGTTTCTAACAGCTAATAGGATGGGGGGCGGTTCCTTCCAAAATGAGGCTCGCGAGTGAGACTTCCTCAACGTGTACTACCGTAAAAATACAATGTGTAGCAGCTACACGGTATCTCGCTTGAGACTTGGTCGAATTTTGAGCCAATGCTTGCCGGCGTCGACTCCAAGCAAGAGTTATTGACATTTCGGAGTGCGAGCCATGTGGTGTAGCGGCGACAAGGTGGCAACGGGCAGCAACGTGGCGAATCCCCGGCATACCCTCACAGGCCGCAACGAGCGACAACTCGGCGAATCCTCGACATACGCACGCAGCGCACGAGGCGGCAGCGACGCGGCAACAACGCGGCCACGGGGCAATGGGCGGCAACGTTGCGAATCTTCAGCGCACCCCCGCAGGCGGCCACGGGCGCAAACGGGCAGCAACGTGCTGGATGCTCAGCATACTGTACCCCCAGATGCGGCAACGGGCGGCAACTTGGCGAATGCTCGGCATACCCCCACAGGCAGCAACGGGCGGCGACGTGGCGAATGCTCGGCATACATACCTACACAGCGCACGAGGCGGCGACGGCGCGGCAACGGGGGGCAGCGCGGCGAATTCTCGGCAGACCTCCACAGGCGGCAACAGGCGGAACGGGCGGACATGTGGCGAACTCGACATACACCTACAGGCGGCGACGGGCGGCAACGTGGCGAATCCTCGATACCCAGTCAATTCCTCAGCAGCACAAGTAAGAACCACGAGACGGCAACGGGCGGCACCGTGGCCAAACCTCGCCGGCCCCACCCAGCGCACGAGGCGGCCACGAGGCGACCACGGGCGGCAACGCGGCGAAACCTCGCAGGACCCGCCCAGCGCACGAGGCAACCACGAAGCGGCCACGAGGCGGCCACGAAGGGCAGCGCTGCGAAACCTCGCTGGACCCACCCAGCGCCACGAGGCGGACACGGGCGGCAACGCGGCGGAATCTAGCCGAACCCACCCCGCGCGCGGAGCGGCCATGAGGCGACCACGGGCGGCGACGTGGCGAGACCTTTCCGGACTCACCCAGCGCCCAAGGCGTCCGCGGGCGGCGACGTGACGAAACCTCGCCTGACCCAACCACTTCCTTCGTAAGAGAAGTAAGAACCCCTGAGTGTAATCACCATTCAGGGAAGAAGCTTAAAACGGTGCAACGGCCACACGGATGGAGGGTGGTCCCCTTTCATCGCGGGGCCGTCGAGGGACACTCCTTCGGACTTGAAGCCCCACCTTGTCGCCATTACTGGCTGCTCGGAGGATGGGGGAAGGCTCCTTTCAAACTGCGGCTTCCGCCCGAACTGCGGGCACATAGGGCCTTTGTTTTTACAGGGGGGCGCTTCGCGTAGCGGAGAAGGATGCAGGCAGGGACTTCGGAGGAGGGGACTCTGGACAGGAAGGCATATTGCAGCAGCGCTGACGCCGATTGGGCTTATACTGCTCTTCTTATCTTGATCCTCGTCGAAATCGTGCTCAGCGCCACTCCCACCACCATCACCTCATTGATCTTGATCCTCACAATGACCCTCACCATCCCCAGGCCCCTGACATCATGACTTCTTCATGGCACCCCCAGAGGTCCCGATCCGTTCCCCAGGACCGGCTTTTCATCCTGAGCCGTTGTTTGACAGTCGCAGGGCCGAGCGAGGGCCCCCATGGACAGAAGCTTGCCCGAACCTTCCCGTCGCCTTTGCTTCAGGATGATCCTCACCATCGCCAACCCCCATGATCCGTACCACCACCACAACACACCGCCGCCACGGCCACCGTCACCTCATCATCCTGATCATCGTCTGCATCACCATCAGCAGCCACCACCACCACCATCATCATCATCATCATCCTCATCATCATCATCATCAGCATCATCGGCACCACCACAAACATCATCATCATCATCAACCTCATCATCGCCATCAGCATCAGCGCCATCATCATCATCACCGCCATCCTCATCAGCATGATCATCACCATCGTCATCATCATTCTCATTATCATGAACATCATCGCCATCATCATCATCATCATCATCATCATCATCATCACCACCATCACCATCAGAACAAGCATCATCACCATCATCACCATCAGCGCCTGCCTCGGCAGCATCGCCATCACCATCCTCAGCAACACCAGCAGCATCACCGCCACGGCCCTCCTCAGCGGCCTGCACCTGCCTCCGCAGCAGCTGCTCCAGGGCCGAGGCCTGCGCGGCGCTGCCGCCCAGCAGCGCCGGCGCCTCTGCGCGCGGGCCCCCGCCCTGCCGCCGGACATCCGCCGTGCCCTGGGCGCCCCCGCGGGGCGGAGATGCCCGCAGTTCCTCTCCTGCCGGCTTCCGCCCCATCTATGCCGCCGCCGTTCCCGCCGTGCCCTTCGCGGGACAGTTACAGTTTAAATGTGTGTGTATATATATATATATATGTGTATGTATGTATGCATGTATGTATAAACATGTGTGTACATATATATATATATATATATAGATATTCGCCCCACATTCTTAGAGGCCTCCTAGACGTGGTCCGAGTGGATTGGGTCGAAGGATCGCGCCGCATCGCCGATACATCGGCGATACATCGGCTATGCATCGGCGATGCATCGCCGATGCACAGGCAATGCATCGTCGACGTGGGCGATGCATCGGCGACGTCGGCATGAAGAAATTCGGGCGTCACATCGTGCCGCATCGGTGATGCATCGGCAATGCGGCGCGATCCTCCGACCCCGTCTACTCCGACCCCATCAAGGAGGCCTAGAATTCTGAGGCTGAGCCTTCCGCCTCACCTTTCCCCGACACCATGTTTCGAATCGGGAAATCCCCCAGAGCACGGCGGATCCGAGTGGAGGGCGCGGGACGGACCGAGGAGGATACAGCTAGGTCGGGCGTGTCTCCCTACAGGCGGATTCTGGAGGACAAATTCTCAATACCCTAAAAATACCCAACAATGATCAAAAATAGTAGAACAATCGTCCCCAGATTATTGTGTGTACTACTTTAGAATATTCCTCATGTAGAGGGACAAGCCCGACTCAACCCTACTTTTTCCCGACACCATGCTTCGAATCGGAAAATCCAACAGAGCACGGCGGATCCGAGTGGAGGGCGTGGGACGGACCGAGAAAGCTACAGTCAGGTCGGGCATGTCCCCCTACAGACGGATTTGGGGGACAAGCCTGATGGGCCTGTTTTCCACTACCACCACCATAAGTTGGAGGGGGAGGGGGTCCTCCTCCTCCTCCTCCTCCTCCTCCTCCTCCTCCTCCGTCCTCCTCCTCCTCCTCCTCCTCCTCCTCCTCCTCTCCTCCTCCTCCTCCTCCTCCTCCTCCCCTCCTCCTCCTCCTCCTCCTCCTCCTCCTCTCCCTCTCCTCCTCTTCCTCCTCATACTCCTCTTCCTCTCTCCTCCTTCCTCTCTCCTCTCTTCCTCCTCCTCCTCTTCCTCCTCCTCCTCCTCCTCCTCTTCCTCCTCCTCCTCCTCCTAGTCCTCCTCCTCCCCCCCATCCAACTTATGGTGGTGGTGGTGGAAAACAGGCCCATCAACGCCCGAATTAAGGCCACAGTCGGCCCTCTCTGTGCGGCTCTGCCGCTCCAGGGGAGCCGCCTCCCGGGTCTCTGGAGCACACGCGCCGGCGTCGCAGCTGAATGCCATGCAGCCATGCAGGGCAGCGCCGCTGTCGCACGAGCCGGACTCTGGTCCAGATCCCGCCTGTGGCCTCCGGGGAGCCCCAGGACATGCCCCCCCAAACAACTGGAAACGCCAAGAGGCCTCCGAACCTTGGAGCGTCAACGACTCACCACAACTGCCAACGCATCCTTGGAACCCCAGGAGATGCCCCCCAACAACTGGAACGCCAAGAGGCCTCGATGGGGTCTGGCATGAAGCAGACGGGTTCTGAAGGACACGGCTCCGGGGAGGCCGAGAGCAGCAAGAAACCTCCGAGACTGGGCGGGAGAAACAAATGTACCCATGGCGCTACTCCACGGACCTTTCTGACTAGGACTTCGGGGGTCATCTAGCAGTGGCGGCGAGAGGTCGCAAGGAGGAGCAGCTGCATCTGCTCCCTTTCCTTCTCCGCTGACGGGGGGCCCTGTGCCCCAGACCCCCCATGTCGTGAATGCTCCATGGCGTGGATCCCCGGAGGTCTCGACCCGTTCCCGAGGACTGGCGTCCTCGGCCCGAGGCCGCTGTTCGCACACCCCGGGGGCCCGACGAGGGCCTCCATGCGGCCGAAGAGTGCCGCACACTTCCCGCCGCGAGTGGCTCGTGGCCCGAGGGGGTCTGAGAAGAGAGGCCAAGGAACCTGCCTCGCTTTTCGGGTCGTGCGAAAGGGGGGGATAGCAAAGGGGGGGTTTGAGAATCAGCTCACGTAGCTGATTTTCCCGGCGCCTCCCGGCGCCGGAGGCGGCTATGTATCGAGGAATGGGCCCCTCGGTGAGGCCGAAACCAGCTGCATGCAGCAAATTTCGTAACCCCCCCTTTCCCAATCCCCCCCTTTCGCCCGGCCCGAGCTTTTGACCACCCTCGCTTCCAAAAGATGCACACGCTGCCAGGCTGCGGCCCGCACCGGTCAGGTCCCTCGACGAGGAGGCGCGTGGTGTGACCTGGCTTTGTCTGGAAGCGAGCGCGGGGCAGGCAGTTCACGCTTTGAGTAAAGGCCCGCTCCCCTCAGGACCAGAGTTAGGTCGGGCGGATTCTGAATGAAACATTAAAAATTGACAAAAATCTTACAACAACAACTCCAAAAATCGTCCCCATACTATGTTTTAACTGTGTTTGGATTTTCTCCCTGTAGAGGGACAAGCCCGACGTACGACCAGAGAGCCCGGCCGCAACACGCCTGCGCGCGGCCGGGGGATGGCCGCCCCCACGGGACTGGTTTCTGAGCACCTTCGGCATCTGAACCAAGTCGGCCCGAAGGGGCTCGATTCCCAGAGGCGGCTATACGTTCAGCAGGGACCGACCGTCCTGGCATTCCTGTAGGCCTACCACGAAATGCTCGTAGAACCCAAAGATGTTCCAATAACGAATGCAGTAGTGTTCCTAGAGCATAAGCCCGTTGTGCTAAGGCAAGACAGTCCCCAGCAGAACTGGTCTCAGAACATCCCGCGCAGACCACACAAAACAAAAAAGTCTTAGAACACTCTCTGGTGGGCCGACTGGCGAGCCAGGACGCTCTGCCACACAGGGGTGGCCCTGGGCAAGAAGGCCCTCTGCAAAGGGGCCCCAGGACACACAAATAAATACACACAAATAAAACTATTCCCCATATTTTCCCATATTTTCTGGGTTTCTGTCTTCCCCCCCACCTCCCATATTTTCCCATATTTTCTGGGGAATCGAGGATTAATTGTGTCTGTGTGTTTTTTCCCCTCCTGACGCAAGCGCGCAAGACGCCACCACCGCAACGCGCTCGGCGCTCCGAGGCCCCCCAGTGGGCACGCACCAGAGGCCACACTCCGGCGAGGCGCCACGCGCACGGGCCGTCGACAGAGGGCGCTTGGAATCTGGCCCACCGGGCAGCCGAGCGGGCTCGACCCCCAGACCCCCTCGCGTCGTGAAAAAATCACGACGGGAGGTTTTTCGCTATTTTCGGCCTCCGGGGGCCCTCACCGGGCCTCGGGAGCGTCAAAAAACGACTCAGGATGCAAAGCCGGTCATGGGGAAAGGGTCGGGACCTCTGGGGGTCGCGTCGTGAAAAAATCATTACGTCGGGGGTCTGGGAATCTGGCCCACCGGGCAGCCGAGCGGGCTCGACCCCATGCCCACTCGGCCGCCGCGTGGGCCCGGCCGCCGCTCAAAGTCCCCAGCCCAGACATGCGACGTCTTGATTTTGTCAGGACGGCGTCCCCGGAAGCCCCGCCCCTTTCCCCAGGACCGGTTTTTCGTCCCGAGTAGTACCGTTGACGTTCCTGGGGCCCGGCGAGGGCCTCTATAGGGGCCGAAGATAGCGAAAAACCGCCCGTTTGGATTTTTTACGACGCCATCCTGTCTGAGAGGGTAATCGGGAGCGGCCAAGAGGGGGGTGTCCAAGAGGACCGGGTGCGAATCTGAAAACGGCGGCACGTGCGCGGCCCAGCGGGGGGGCCAGGGACGCCATGACATGAGAAGAGGCGCCCTAAGATCTGGGGAGGTATCATGGCCCACGCCATGATATCCCCCCCCCCCTAATCATCACCCCCCTCTTTGCCGCACCCGGGATAACTGGGGCCTCCCGCCCCGCCTGCTCCGGCCAGGCGGTCCTGGGGCCCGGCGAGGGCCTCCAGGGGCCGAAAATAACGACAAACCTCCCGTCCTGATTTTTCACGACGCCATCCTGTCTGGGAGGGTACTCGGGAGAGGCCAAGAAGGGGGGTGTCCAAGAGGAGGGGGTGCACATCTGAACACGGCGGCATGTGCGCGGCCCAGCGGGGGGGGGCCCGGGACGCCATGCAATGAGAAGCGACGCCCTATAAGATCTGGGGAGATCTCATGGCCCACGCCATGATATCCCTCCCCCCTCCCCCCAGTCATCACCCCCATCTTTGCCGCCCCCGATCTTCGAGCCGTCGTGGCGCCGCCTGGGGTCCTCCCGGGCCGCCCTGGGCGAGCAGGAGGAGGTGGAGAGGCAGGACAAGCTGGAAGGGCGAGGAGGCAGGAGGAGGAGGAGGAGGAGGAGGAGGAGGAGTGAGGGAAGGAGGAGGAGGAGGAGGAGGAAGGAGGAGGATGGGGAGGAGGAGGCGGAGAGGAGGAGGCAGGGACGGAGGGAGGAGGGAGGGGAGGAGGGGAGGAGGAGGAGGAGGTGGGAGGGAGGGGAGGGGGTGATGAGGAGGGAGGGGGGAGGGGGGAAGGGGGAGGAGGAGGAAGGAGGGGGGAGGAAGGGGGGCCTCCCCAGCCTGCTCCGGGCCTGCTCCCGGGCCCCGCCGGCGCCGCCCTCCGGGCCCGCGCGGCGCGGCGGCGGGAGCTGCGGCGGAGGGTCCGCGCCGCGGGCCAGCGTGGCACGTGCCGGGCATCGACTCCGCTGCGGCGGCGCCTGCCGCTTGCCGACCCCACCGCCCGCCTCCTCCTCCTCCACCTCCTCCTCCTCCTCCTCCTCCTCCTCCTCCTCCTCCGCGAGTCAGGGCCCTGAGACCCTAAGAGATCCGACGCCTCAGCCCACACCGGAGCGGACGGTTTGTGATAGTCGTCGGCCTCCAGGGGCCCTCGCCGGGCCTCGGGAGCGCCAAACAACGATTCAGGAGGAAGAACCGGTCCCGGGGAAGTGGTCCAGACCCCCTGGGTCCACGCACCCAAGAAATTGGAGCCGCCGGATGTCTGGGGAGAGGACAGCGCGACGGGAGGCGTTCGGCCACTTTCGGCCTCCAGGGGCCCCCCCCGTGTCCCGGACAGGTCAGAAAAGGACCTCCAGGGAGCAACGTCGTGCACAAAAAACGACGTCGGGGATCTGGGACCCAGGGTTCCACTTCTGAGTCCTCAGCCTCCTCCACCTGCTTCTCCTCCCCCTCCTCCGCGTCCTCCTGCACCCCCTCTTCCTCGAACACCACACCCTGCCACCCGACCCCCTCCTCCTCGAACTCCTCCCCCTCCCCCCTCCTCCTCCTCCTCCTCCTCCCCTTCTTCTTCTTCTTCTTCTTATTCTTCTTATGATTTTAATATTATTAATATTAATACTAATATTACTATTATTATTACTACTATTACTCGTTTTATTATTAGTGTTAATGTTAGTATTATTCTTTTTAGTCTTAGTATTATTCTTATGATTATTATTCGTCGTCTTCTTCTTATCATTAATATTGTTCTTATGATTCGTATTATTATTATTCTTTATTATGGTTATTATTCCTTCTCCTCCTCCTCCTCCTCCTCCTCCTCCTCCTCCTCCCCCTTCCCCTCCTCCTCCTCCTTTGCCTCTTCCTCCTCCACCTCCTCCTCCTCCACCTCCTCCTCCTCCTCCTCCTCCTCCTCCCCCTCCTCCTCCTTCGCCTCCTCCTCCGCCTCCTCCTCTTTTTATCCGCTTCGTGCACGAGCGCGGCAGCCGATCGCCAGGCCGCCGCTTTGCCGCTTCACTGGAAGGGCAGGGGGAAGGTAGAGAGAGGACCTTGCTGCCAGCACACGGTGCCGTCTGCAAGAGTGCCAGTGCAGTGCCCCGCCGTGACGTCGAATGATAACGAGGTCTAGGCGCAGTATTCGGTCGTTCTTTCCTCGGAGCCTGGCATGATTGCCAGGCCACCGCTGTGCCCCAACACGGGGAGCCCAAGCTGTATAGAGAACCTCGCTACCAACATATTGCCGTCTGCGAGTGTGGTTGCGCAATGCGCCGGCGAGGTCTACAAGGTTATTACCCAACACGGAGGCGGCAGCCCATTGCGAGGCAGCCGCCTTGCCGCAGGACGGGCAGGAGAACACCAGCAGCGCCTGGGCCTCAGCGGCGGCGCTCTTCGCGTCTCGTGTAGAACAAGCGTGGGAGCCCCTCAGCAAAATGTGGATTTGCTTGGCTGCGCAGGCCAGTGCCCTGTGCGAAGCTTGGCTGAACCGAAAATTCAGGAAGTCGATGCTCTTGAAAAATAAGCATCCTCCGCCTGGGACCATTCTGAGGGCCGGCAATACGCTGCCGCATTTGATGCGGCAGCTGATTGCGGGGCCGCAGTTCTGTCCCAGGCCGGGGATGCGAATGATGAGGCGGAAGATCAATCCAACAGCTGTATGCCACATGCTTGTAAGTCGCCCCATATCGGTGGTGAGTTCCCATTCATCTCCATCGCCGATTTGGCGGCATCTCGCCAGGGCTCTGCCTTGCCCCTGGACCTGAACTCTTGCATCGATTCGGACGCCGTAAGGTAGACGACCTTACTTTTGCGAACTGTTTCACGCTGCACTCCGAGCCGACCTCCATGGACTCCAACACCGCCATCTTGTCCCAGGAGGGGGAGAATGTGGACAAGGACGCCGGCAATAACGTCCAGGCCGCAGACGACTGAAAGGTGGAGGACGCGCTGGTGAGCGTAGGTAACGCCGCTGTGAACCAGCCAGCACGACGATCTGAAACGCGTTGTCGGGCACTACAAGGAGAAGCCAAGAACTATTCCCCGAACCTCTCCCCGGTTTTGTTCTGCCCCGAATTTCCAATCAAATCCAGCGGTGGCTGCGAGGTCCTCCCAGGAAGCCCCAAAGGGGGAAGACGATGGAACGGTCGCGGTATGGGTACCTTTTTCCCTCCTCCCAATACAAGGTCGGGGGGTGTGGGAACCTAGTTACAGCCGAACATGCGGTCAACAAAAATCATCGTGTAAGAAATGCGGGGCCAATTTTCCGGAGGTTTCTTGAATCAAGCCTGGGCACCTTTCTGCTATCCACGCTGAAGGTGCCTCCGTGCTCAAGAAATTGGGCCAGCTCTCCGACACGTTGGTTCAGAAGCGCAGGCCCATCTTTTCGGGAGGAGGTTTCTTCATTACACCAGAGAAAACACCCAATTGGTGGAAGGTGGTGAAAATTAGTGAAATGGATATTGAGATCGATAGTGTAATCGATAGTGAGGACGATTGTGAAGTCGATCATGAGACCGAGAGTGAAATCGATTCAATGAGATCGATAGTAAGACCTACCGTGAGATCGCTCGTGCGATCGTGTCTTAATCATACGCTCGACTGCACTGGGAGAGGCTCCGTGCTAGGAGCCCCCACTAGGGACGGACGCAAAGTCGGGCTGATGCCTGCGCGGCGTCTCGGCCGCCCGCTGGATCACGGGCGCAGCTGCTTCGACTCTCCGCATTTTGCTGAGTGCGCGTCCTCCTCCTCCTCCTCCTCCGCCTCCTCCTCCTCCTCCTCCTCCTCCTCCTCCTCCTCCTC